TTATATTTGTTCAAAAGGGAGAAATATCTGGAAACTAACTTATGAAGACCCATTGCCTTATGCAGGGACTTCAGTGTTGCATGTATCGCCCACAAACACAAATGCACTGCATTACAGGGCACACAATGAGTATAATAACAATACATTTTGCAATGAAAATAGTACATATATGGGCATCTTCAATTATGAATAAATTTCATGCTATGAAGAATAGTCCCACTTTCACATTTTCCTCAAAAGTATAGTCCAATAAAATATAGTTTAAAACACTTTCTAGGTAAATAAAACGACATCAGGACATCGTGTCCAGGTCTCTGGAAACAAGGTCAGTCTCTAGTGTGAATACTGTCCTTGTTCTAAATTATCATAGTTTTGATTCATAGAACAATGATTATATACCAGTTTCTATGCTAGGTGCTTAATATGTGATATATAATTCAGTCCTTACCACACCCTGGTATTAGAAATGATTACTTCATTTAACAGATGAATCAACTGAGCAAAAGTTCAGGCTTTTAACTATTACACTATACTTCCCATTTTTTAGAAAATGTATTTGAATAATTTCTATTTCTGTGGGGAGTTTTTGTTTGTTTTTAAATATCTTTTTATTTATTTCAGAGAGGAAGGGAGAGGAAGAGAGAGATAGAAAGAAACATTAACGATGAGAGAGGATCACTGATTGGCTGTCTCCTGCAGGCCCCCCACTAGGGATCCAGCTCACAACCCAGGCATGTGCCCTGACCAGGAATCAAACCGTGACCTCCTGGTTCATAGGTTGAGCCATGCTGTCCAGGCTATTTCTGTGTTATGATATGTTCTCATCTTAAGTAAACATTTTCAAATTATTGGAGAAAAACATTAGGACTTTAATTTTTTCTTACTTCATTCTATTTTTATCCTATTTCTAAAGCCATGGTTTCTAGAGCCTATACTTTCATGTACTTTCACAATAGGCTAATTCCACTGCCACTGTAGATAAATGAGTTGACCTTGTTGATGTTCTTTCCTGTTGCAAGGAATTGAAAGACCAGCTGAGAGCAATTACAAGCAATATTACTACCTTGGCAGGAGCTGTCAAGGCTAACATTCCTGGTTGGATGCAGGATAAGTGTATGTTGCATGACAATCAGAGAAACAGGACATTTCAGATAATTTTTAGAAATGAAAGGCATGAAATTCTAAAAGCTTTTGTTTTCATGAAATCTACACAGTACAAATAAACTGTTTGTGTATGCATGCATATATGTATGTGTATATGTGTATAATCTTCTTAAATCCCAGAATAATGATATCCTTAAGCTCCAAGAGAATATAATAGATCCATTCATTCTAAGCTTAATATAATAAAATTCCATTTATCCAGAATCTGAAATACCAAAGTAGTAAAATAGCCTGAATTTAATTTACAAGCATGTTGCTCAATTTCTGCTTTATTAGGATATATTTTAGATATTCAGTTACATTCTAAAATAAAAAACAACAACTATGCCATTTTAGTTATAAATATATTTTATAATATTAAAATTATTATGTTTATATATTTTCTATGAATTAATGGCATTTTAAAAACTCAGTTAAACAAGAGACTTAACCACATCTGATCCTTGAACAATATGCATTTGAATTTCACATTTGCACATATATTCAGACTAGAGGCCCATTGCAAGAAGAGTCACGTAATAGGCCTTCCTTCCCCTGGCTGCTGGCATCAGTTTTCCTCCGGTACCTGGGACCCAGGCCTTTGCTCCAGCTGCAGGGCTTGGCTTCTCTGCTCAGGCCGTAGCAGTGAGGCTTGGCTTCTCTGCTCCAGCTGCAGCAGGGAAGCCAAGCCTCTTCAGTCATCAGTTGTCTTCAGTCTTCAGTCTGTCTTCAGTCTTCAGTCTTCGCTCTGCGCCTGCATATGCAAATTAACTGCCATATTTGTTGGGTTATTTGCATACTCATCCTGATTGGCTGGTGGGTGTAGCAGAGTGATACCAATTCACATGTTTCTCTTTTATTAGTGTAGATGTTTTTCAATAAATCTACTCCCTATTTCTCTCTGAGTAACACATCCATGGATTCTACCAACCATGAATTGAAAACATTATTTTTGTTCCGCAGTAGAGAATCTGTGGGTGATGAGAGCTAATAGTATGCATTGTTCTATACCATTATATATGCAGGTGCTTGAGCATCTGTGGAATTTAGTATCCACAGGGGGCCTGAAACCAATCCTCCTCAAATACTGAGGGATGACTATAGTTAAGTTTTAAGGGAGTCAAAAATTATACTTGGATTTTTCAATTGTGCTCTTAACCCCGATGTTGTTCAAGGGTCAACTATAATTATAATACTATATTACTCCTTATTTTCAATAAATTCCATTTGTTAATTCCAAAGCAATAGATTTCCTTGATTTCTTTGAAACTGGCTTGTGTAATAAATCTCCTGAAAAAGAAGTGAAATTTTGGCAATTGTCTGGTGAATTACATTCTCTATTGAATAAACAAATATAATAATGGCCATTAAAGCAAATTAATGCTTTATTTTTATACTAGAGGCCCGGTGCACAAAAATTTGTGCACTCAGGGGGGAGGGGGGGTCCCTCAGCCCGGCCTGTGCCCTCTAGAAATCTGGGACCCCTCGGGAGATAACGACCTGCTGGCTTAGGCCTGCTCCTGGGTGGCAGAGGGCAGGCCCAATCCCTAGGTGCAGCCCCTGGTCGGGCTCAGAGCAGGGCCGATTGGGGAGTTGGGGAGCCGCCCCCTGTCATGCACAGAGCAGGGCGGATTGGGGGGTTGTGATGCCACCCTCAGTCATGCTAGGGGTAGGGCCAATTGGGGAGTTGGGGCACCACCCCCTGTCACACTCAAGGCAGGGTCGATGGGGAGGTTGCGGCGCCAACCCCTGTCACGCACAGAGCAGGGCCAATCAGGGGGTTGGGGCACTGCCCCTTGTCATGCACACAGCAGGGCCCATCAGGGGGGTTGGGGCTCCGTACTGTCATGCACAGAGCAGGGCCCATGAGGGGGTTGGGGAGCTCCCCCCTGTCATGCACAGAGTAGGGCCGATAAGGGAGTTGGGGCACCGCCCCCTGTCACCCACAGAACAGGGCCGATCAGCGGATTGGGGCACTGCCCTCTATCACCCACAGAGCAGGGCCAATCAGGGGGTTGGGGCACCACCACTCTCACGCTCAGGGCAGGGCCGATGGGGAGGTTATGGCTCTACCCCGTCACACAGAGCACGGCCTGTGGGGGGGGGGGCGATTGGGGTGCAGCACCCTGTCACACACAGAGCCGCAGGGAGATCAGGGGGTTTGGGCGCTGCCCCCTGTCATGCTGATCCCAGTGCCGGGAGGCCTCACGGCTCCGCTGATCCTGGTGCCGGGAGGCATATTACCCTTTTATTATATTGAATAGAGGCCTGGTTCATGGGTGGGGGCCGGCTGGTTTGCCCTGAAGGGTGTCCTGGATCAGGGTGGGGGTCCCCACTGGGGTGCCTGGCCAGTCTGGGTGAGGGGCTGAGGGCTGTTTACAGGCTGGGGGTGACTGAAGCTCCCAACCGCTCCTTTTTTCCTTTTTTTTTAAATTCTGGGCCAGCTTTAGCTTGAGGCTTGGCTCCAGCTCTTAGGCCTCCCACGGCTGAAAGTAGGTTTCTGGCCTTTGCTTACAATGTTGTGAATCTGCTGGCTGAAGTCTGGCGGTATTTGTTACAATGTTTCTTAAACTGCCCGCTCAGAGGCCTGCAGCCGCAGGCGGGGAACATTGGTTTCCTCCAACGATCCTTGGTCACTGAGGCAAGCAAGCCTCATGTTAGTTTTAAGCTGCCTGGCTGCCGGCCGCCATCTTGGCTGACAGTTAATTTGCATATCTCGCTGATTAGCCAATGAAAAGGGTAGCAGTCGTACGCCAATTACCATGTTTCTCTTTTATTAATGTAGATAAGTATATCATAGGTTGCAAAGTCCAATTTATCACCAAAAATAGGACAAAAGTACCTGAGAGTTTAGTGTTTTAGTCTGCATGGTAAGCTTGAGTCAGCAGTATAATCTGCTGGGAGTTGCAGGTAGATTAATAGTTTCAGGTAGGCTAATATAAAAGTATGAGTTACTTGTGTCTTCATTTCCAATTAGGGAGTGGGGACATGTAAGTCTTTCCAAAGAGGTGCTTGGGCTCTTTCCTAATGGGATTTTCCTGTGAAGGGGCTATACTGCATGGCCATAGCACATCTTTCAGACATATCATTGTGTGACCATTATGATGTGGAGGAATGCGTGGTAACCTCGACGACTTTTGGAAAGGATATAAGTAGAAGTGAGTCACATTGTATAAATCTAATTAAAAAACAAAAATCCTATATAATAAAGAGGTAATATGCAAATTGACCATCACACTCTCACACAAGATGGCCTCCCCCATGTGGTCACTAGATGGCCACCACAAGATGGCTGGCAGGGGAGGGCAGTTGTGGGCAATCGGGCCTGAAGGGGAGGGAGGGCAGTTGGGGGGGACCAGACCTGCAGGGGAGGGCAGTTAGGGGTGACCAGGCATTCAGGAGAGGACAGTTATGGGCAACCAGGCCAGCAGGGGAGGGAAACTGGGGGGGGGGGGGATCAGCCCTGAAGGGGAGGGCAGTTGGGGAGAACCAGGCCTGCAGGGGAGCAGTTAGGCGTTGATAGGGCTGGCAGGGAGTGGTTAGGGGGTGATCAGGCTGGCAGGCAGAAGCGGTTAGGGGCAATCAGGCAGGCAGGTAGGCAAGTGAGTGTTTGGGAGCCAGCAGTCCTGGATTGTGAGAGGGATGTCCGATTGCCCATTTAAACCCAATCCCACAGGGCCTAAATGGGCAGTCAGACATCCCTCGAGGTGTTCCAGATTGGAGAGGGTGCAGGTTGAGCTGCAGGACAGCCCTCCCCAGTGCATGAATTTTATGCACCAGGCCTCTAGTAATAATAATATAAAATTGTTTCCTCTAGAGTCACCTTTTTATTTTATTTGATTTGATTTTCACAGTATTTTTTGAGAGCTGAGATTACTCTAGCAGCGAAACCAGAGCCAGCTATTAAGCAGCCAGAATGCTACCGTAATTGAATACATGACCATTTCTCTTTTAGCACGTTCTTTGTTCTCCTCTTCTAGAAGTTGTAGACGTCGATTTAATTTGATTATCTGTCGTCTTAATGAAACTGCATCTACAACATTCATGTCATGTGCAGTTGCTTCAACTGTTGCATCTATATTTGAAATGCCATACATGGAATCAGTTCTGACCAGCTGTCCATTTTGGCGAACAGCATTTTCACTCATAGAGCGCTCTCTTTTTAGTCGGCCAACTGCACGGACTTCTTCATTTTGGGGAGTTGAAGGAGGTCTTTCTAAATCCAAAAAATCTAGTGGTCTTTCACTTAGTGTAAGTACACGAGGTGGTGTTTTTAGTGCCAGAGGTTTTAAAGAAGTTGACTGAATGAGGTCAAGATCTCCTGGCCTTGAAAATGGAATGTCTTCATTGTTTCCTGCTACGACAATCCTCTCTGGAACCTGCATAATCACACTGGCATTTGGAACTCCTTCTTGGAATTCTTGTTCCAGGTCAGCATTTGGTGGTGTTAATTTTTCTGGGACCCCCATTCGCTGACTAATACCTTCGGTGTATTCCATTTCATATTGAATTCGACTAATTTCCGCCATCTCGGCAGCAGTGGGAGAAGGAAATGCTACCCCACTCACTCACTACTTGCTGTTTGGCACTATCTGCTTCTGTGCTTCATAGTAATCCTTTAACTTGCTTCAGTGTGCCGTGCTGGATGTAGAGCCCCTTTTGTCCCCCTGGGCTGGCTGGAGGCTCCCCGGCGAGGGCCGCCGCCCGCCGGCTCCCAGGGGCTCAGGTGGGCGCTCTAGGAGGCCGTTGGCCAAGCGCACGGAGACGCTGGGGCAAAACACCGGCCGGAGCGGCCCGCAGCGGGCCAGCAGAGACGAGAGATCCGCCGGGGCTGGCCCCTCCCGGTACCAGTAGTGGTCACATGTAGAGTCACCTTTTTATTGGTGCTTCAGGAACATTGCTATTGCCCTCACCATAGAAGATATTCCTCACTTTCTTTTAAATGTCAGTAGACATCATACTTCTTGCCCAGCTAAACTCTTCTCTTTTATAGGGTAAATGACCATATTTTCTTTGACAAGTCCTGATTTCTTTATTTTTAAACATTCACTTGGACTTCCTCTGAATTTTATTTTTTATAAATGGATGTTCAGATTTGTTCACAGTTCTATGATTTTTTTTAAAATTTTTAGAAATATATATTTTTTTACTGTTTTCAGAGTGGAAGGAAAGGGGGGAAGAGATAGAAGCATCCATGATGAGAGAGAATCATGGACTGGCTGCCTCCTGCAAGTCCCCCACTGAGGAAGGAGCCCACAACCTAGGCGTGTGCCCTTGACCAGAATTGAGCATAGGACCTTTCAGTTCGTAGGCCGATACTCTATCCACTGAGACAAACCAGCTAGGGCACAATTCTAATATATGATTTGCTCAGATTATTGTAAACTGCATCACTTGATCCATAAACTATGTTTGTCCAAATAAACAGGAAATTTTATTAGCTATCTGGCCTCTATTATTCTGTGGCTGGTTCAAAGGGGAAAACTTAACAGAGATTGTTTTAATCCCAATATTACAGCATCTTCTCCAGTTTCCATAAAAATTGTCTCTGTTCAATCACCTAACAAAAGGTAAAGGAAAGATGATCCACACACTTGTTTCTTCCTTTAACTTTCCATGGTTTATAGCAACATCAAAGATAACAGCTCTGGGAGTTAAAGATTACTGAAAATGTACCTGTTTTCAAACTTGGTCCTTATATAACTGAAACAAAAAAAAAATAGCATAAATCTTCTTAAACAAATAATTGCATTAAAAAAGAAAAAATGGGAAACATTTTATGCAGATGTCTAAGAAATCTACTGTATTCCACCTTGGGGTTAAATAGATCTCTGGTTTTCAACCCTATGTACATAGTAGAACCATCTGAGCAGCTGTGATAAATGAATGTAGAGGGAAGGGGACTGGGAACTGGGGGTTGGGTGGAGGTGGGTAAAGGGTGGGAAAACAGGGGACATCTGTAATAGTATCAACAAGAAAAAATACACCTTTGTAAAATACAAAAAATAATGACTGTACTTTTTTAGAAATAATTAACAGCTTTATTGAGATGTAATTGTCATACAATAAATTGCACGTTTAAAATATACAATTTGCCAGTCTTAACATATATTTACAATGGTGAAACCATCACCAAAATCAACATAAAGAATATATATAACTTCCCCCTAAATTTTCCTAGTATCCTTTGTAATCCTTACCCCCCAACCTTCACAGGCACCCACTGACTTGCTTTCTGTCATTGCAGAATGTTTTGCATTTTCTAGTTTTAAATAGATGGAGTCATGTAGTATTTACTTTTTCTCACTTTTTTCACTAATCATAATTACTTAGAGATTCATCTATTTTGTAAACTGCATTGACATGTATATATATACTAGAGGCCCAGTGCATGAAATTCGTGCATCAGTTGGGGTTTCTCGGCCTGGACTGCATCCCCTTGCAATCCGGGACCCCTCGGGGATCTAGCAATGCCGAAGCAGCAGGCAGCCAGGGAGGAACCAGAGCCAGGCTCGGCACTTGGCGCTCAGCACTGCTAACCACTTTCAGCTCCTGACCACTTGCTCCTTACTGCTCGCTCCTTAGCCTTGCTGTGGAGGTAGGAGAGGCTCCCGCTGCTGCTGCGCTCACCAGCCATGAGCCCGGCTTCTGGCTGAGTGGTGCTCCCGCTGTGGGAGCACACTGACCACCAGGGGGCAGCTCCTGTGTTGAACGTCTGCCACTGGTGGTCAGTGTGCGTCATAGCGACTGGTCATTCAGCTGTAATGGTTGCTTAGGCTTTTATATATGTAGATATATTCCACAGTTTGTTTATCCACTCACTGCACATCTGAGTTGTTTCTAGTTTTGGGGTTACAAATAAATATATTTGAATTTTTGTGTACAAGTCTTTATGTAAACACATGATTTTATTACTCTTGGATAAAAACCTAGGAGTGGAGCCCAGGCTGTATGCTTGGTTGGTTGCAGTGTCATCCCATGCACTGAAATGTTGCTGGTTCGATTCCCAGTCAAGGCAAATGTCTGAGTTGGGATTTCATCCTTAGTCGAGGAGTGTATGGAGAAGCAACTGGTTGGTGTTACTCTCTCACATTGATCTTTCTCTCTCTCTCTCTTTAATATCAATAAAAGTACCCTCAGGTGAGGATTAAAACAAAAATAAGAACTTAGGAGTGTCATATCTGAACCATATAAATGTTTAATTTGTAAGCTATGCATAGCTACCCAGTCCTGCACCATTTACTGAAAAAAGAAAGATTCTTTCTCCACTGAGTTGAGAAAGAGTGTCAAAATTAAGTTGAGTGGGTTAGAGGTAGAGGAGGGTATAGGGTTGATAAATGGTGATGGGAAAATATTTAAAAATCAATTATATATATATATATATATATATATATGTAGATGTGTGTGTGTGTGTGTGTGTGTGTGTGTGTGAGAGAGAGAGAGAGAGAGAGAGAGAGAGAGAGAGAGAGAGATTTTATATCTAGACTCTGTATTCTGTTATTAGGTATATAAATGTTTAGAATTTTTATGTTTTCTTTATGGATTGATGACTTCAACATTATGAAATTACCACCTTTATCTTCAGTAATATCCTTTTCTCTGAAATCTAGTTTGGTTGATTTTAATGTAGCCACTTCAGTTTTCTTTTTATTATTGTTAGCATGGTATATCTTTTCTTACATTTTAGGGGTTGGATTTTGTCCTCCCTAAAGTGTAGGTTGAATTCCCAAACCCCAGAACGTCACAGTGTATGACCTTATTTGGAAATAGGCCCTTTACAAAGTAAAGGTGAGGTTCTTACAGTGAGACCTACTCTAATATAACCAGTGTCCCTATAAAAAAGAGAAATTTGGACACACAGATAGATATGCACAGAGGGAAGATAATGTGAAGACACAGTCAGGAGACAGAAGCAGAGATTGGTCTGGTGCAGCTGTAAGCCAAGGAATGCCAAGGACTACCAGCCTCCACAAGAAGCTAGGAAGAGGCAAAGAAGGACTTACCCCAGAGTTTAAGAGGAAGCATGGCCCTATTATCACCTTGTATACAGACTTCCAGTCTCCAGAACTATGAGATAATACATTGCTCTTGTTTTAAGCCAATTGAATTTTGGTGCTTTTTTACAGCTGCTTCAGCAAACTAATATACATCCTGTTACTTTTAATATATGTGTATTTACATTTACAGTAGGTTCCAACTAGGTAGCATATAGTTAAGTTTTGCTTTATTTATCCAATATGAAAATCTCTGACTTTTTTTATGATCTCTGACTTTTAATTGGGGCATTTAAGGAAATTATTGATATGTGTAGGGTTAAATTGCATTCAAGGAAATTATCGATATGTGTAGGGTTAAATCCATCCTGTTGATATTTGTTTTCTTTAGTGGTTTTTTTTTGTTTTGTTTTTGTTTTTGTTTTTGTTTTTTTGTCTCATGTGTCCTTTGTTCTTATTTTCCTCTTTTTCTGGTTTATTTTTGAATTAATTTAATATTTTAATGATTCCACTTTTTATTTAGTTGGATTATTAGATATAACTCTTTGTTTTATTATTTTAGTGGTTGTTTTAGGTTATATATTAGCCATTTCTTTTTATTAATTTTCTTTTTAATTTTTTTATTTCAGAGTGGAGGGGAGAGGGAGAGAGAATAGAAGCATCAATAATGAGAGAGAATTATTGATCGGCTGCCTCCTGCACACCCCACACAGGGGATGGAGCTTGCAACCTGGGCATGTGCCCTGACCAGGCATTGAACTGTGACCTTCTAGTTCATAGGTCGACACTAAACCACTGAGCCAAGCTGGCTAGGCAGCCGTTTCTTTTTTAAACATCCACACTACAATGTTAGCTTGCCTAAGCATTGTTTAACCAAACAAAAGATATCAGTTGAATTTTAAGGCAATGTCATTATCTTTGTCAATGAAATCATTGCTTTGGCTTAAAATTGTTATTGTTGCTCAATAGTTGTAGGTAAGGGATACTACTTTATAAGTAGGCAATATTCCTATTAAACAGTTGATTTTGCTTCTATGGTGTTAAACAGTTAAATGGGCCTATTCCTTTATGTTGAGTGTGAGTTTGTGTGTGTGTGTGTGTGTGTTTTCACATGGTCAGTAGGTGTGGCATGTACCAGGGGCACAGAGATGTTTATCTTTTATATAGAGTTGTCAACTTTTTATTTTCCAAGTAATGATATTTAAAAATGTCATTTACTAACACAAATTTCACAAAGAAAGGATGTGTGAACACTGAAAACATACAAAGAATATTGCTTCAGAAAAAAATACATTTCTTTAAATTGAATACACCTAGCTTTATGTTGATAGTAATTGCATCTTCCTTGATTTCTCATTTTGCTCTGTATAAAATATAAATTCAAATATAATTATGTGGTCCTTGAACATGTCATGTAGAGGACAAATCATGTAATTGAGTTCAGTCTTCCATATTTTCAGAAATATATTTATTCAGCTTAGTGGGATCGCCTGGAAGCAAAAGTCTTATATTTCAGAGAGATTATCATTGTGTCCTTGAACATGTCCTTGGAAGAACCAGAGAAGTGGAATCAT